GGGACAAATGACCTTAATGATCTACTAGTCACTTATTGAATGAATAAATAAGCGGTTACAAAGCAGTAGCAGAGCAGCATGATAGGGATGGTTAAGCTGCTGGTGTGTGGGACCGTGGCTGCTGGAGCGGGCCGGTGTGGCTTTGTGGGCTGCACGTCCCACAGACCAGATCTGTAAATCGTGGGTGGGGTGCCCTGAGTCCCAGTGGCCGGTCGTGGTTCTGGGCACCAGCATGGCTCCAGGCGCTGAGATAAGATCTGTGTCTGTGGAGTTGCCCGCCGCCCCTGGGGCGGCACGAGGAGCCCTGTGGCTGCCTTGTGGAGGATTCATGCTCCTTTCAAGCCTTTCATTGTGTGGCCACCCCCTGGTTTTCCTCTCCTAGAACTGAAAACAGGGTGGGAAGACACGAAAGCTCAGGCAGTTAGTGGGCTTGGGGTGATGTCCAACACAGGGACTTGCTCCCCTTCTACTGGGTGCTGCACTGAAGCGCTGGGATGAAATGGGATGAGCCTTGCTCCCCTCTGAGGAAAGCTGGGATGTGTTGCTGTAGGGGTCCTTCTTCAGCCTTGCAGTCCCACGGGGTCTGTGTGTCCCAAAGGTGATGGGGGACGCAGGGATGCTGCTGGGAGGGAGTTGATCCTGTGGAGCTGAGCTCCTCTGGGTGCATGGGAGAGAGCTGCAGCCCCCCTGGCTGTGTAGGGGGGATTGGGGATGGCTCGGGGAGGAGGAGGTGACACAGGCACCCCGTCAGCCGTGCCACGGGGGCTGGCTTGAGAGGAGTCTGCTGCAAGCCAGCAGACTAAGGCAGGTAAAAGAAACAAGGCAAACCCCGGGTGCGCCTTCTCCGCCCAGCCCTCCCCGCTCCTGGCAGTCAGCGGGGCAGCAGTTTTCTGCACAGGCGGTTGAATCTCTGCCATCTTGCACCGACACAGACCCACCCACCATTAACTTTCTAACCCTCTCTGAATACACTTTATACCTTTGGTCTCTGCAGCATCTTGGGGCGGTGGATTTCAGGCTTTAGTTGTGCGGCGGGTTTCTACGACAGCCATGAGGACGCTTTCTGCTTTGTTTTCTAATCCTTTCCTAGCAATTCCTGCCGCTTGACTGGCTGCTCTTCAGCCTGAGTGTGTGCGGGGCGATTTCCCCTGGGCACATCTTCACACCTCTTGGCATTGCATTACCTCTGCTGCTTTGTAGCTCAGCACCGTGAGCTCCTGGAGCTCTTTTTGGCTTTGGCTGCTCCAGAATATTTGGTATTGCCTTTGCCCGACTGCTCCTTTCCCCTGCTTTTGGGTGCTCTGTGCTCACTCTGCACCTGTGGGCCTCTGCTCCCTGGGAAGTGGTCTGCAATCTGAGAGCTGATGGTTTATTCCTACCCTTTTGTTTGTTGTCTTTTAGCTAGTTGTCCATGTGGAATCTGACTCTTCTTGCTGCCTCTTGGCTCAATTTCTGCAGACCTGGAGGAGAAAACCCCCAGGGAGCCACGTGCGGCTCTGGCCCCGGTGTGCGTGCTCCCCAGCTCCCCTGCAGCAGGCTGGTCAAGGGCTCTCCCCAGGAGCCGTCCTGCTCACAGCATCCCATACCGATCCCAGCTCCTTGCAAATCTGCTCAACTGCGAGGCTCTGCTGAGCCCCCAGTGAAGCTGGGCTGCCCTTCAGGTCCCACATCTTCACCCCCCCCAGCCTGCTTCTCTGCCTGTGTGCCCCATCAGTGCCCAGCCTGCAGCTCACCAGGTTAATGCCCTCCCTGGTCCATGGGATGGAGCCTGGAAGAGCTGGATTTGGTGCTGATTTGGGCTCCCAGTGCTTGTGCTGCCCAGCCCTTACTGAGTCCGTGTGCTTGACAGAGCAGCATCTGTCTGAGTGCCTGGGTGTGCCTGCAGTGATGGTGTAGGAGACAATCTCCTTATTTCTCCAGTGCCCCCAATTCTCCAAGCAGGTCCAGACCTTGGCATTGCCTGTTTCCAGCTCCCAGGGCTGTGCAATAACTTTCTGCTGGTCTCTGCTGGGACCATTGATCAGCGCTTGTCCCAGGAGGACAGGACGTCCGTAACAGATGCTCATCCCTGAGGTCTGTGGAACATCAATTAGTATTTACATGTTTCCACCCCCATTTACGATGCTGGATTTGACCTGATAACCTAGCAGCAAGGGGCTCTGCTGTCTGCTCCTGGCTGCATCCCATCTCAGCCTATTCCCTTGCTGCTAGGGGGAAATGTGGGTGCTGCTCCCAAGGCTGTGGGTGGGAACTGGGGCCAGCTTTAATGTCAGCTGCTGCTTTGTGGGGAATTTGCAAGCTGACGGGGGCAAACCCTGTAAGCTCTGCCATTCCCAGTGGGATTTTGAAGGGGAAAAGAAAACTGAGCCCTCTTCCCTGACACCCCTTCCTCAATAGCCCATGGTCATTATCCTGGAACGAAATAGGATGGATCTGGCAAGGCTCTGCAGTTAGCTGTTATGCAGGGACCTTAGGCTATTTTCTGTGCCCCTTGAGTTTCCACCATCTCCAGGCATCAGCTTGAGGGTCCCAAGCCAGAGGGAAGCCCAGCAGCTCTACTGCGGGACCGTTGTCCCTCTGCCCTGTCCCAGCTCACAGGGCCTTGACACGTTCCCCCCTTGTCCCTCTCCCGGGGCACACGGACCACTCACTGTTTGGGAGCCTGGGGTGAAATCCAGGTCTCGGGGAGAAGCTGTGAGATGCCACCATCATGCAAGGTGAAGGTGGCCAGATCATGGCTCTCGTCCCCTGCCCGTGCTGCTTGCCCAGGGCAGGTGGGGAAACTGCAGTGGCCAGTGAGGAAAGAGCCACGTCCCAGTCATGTGCATGGACACATCTCTACTCAGTAAAATATTTATTCCTCCATTATTTCACAAGAGTTGTTTTTACAAAAACCTTACAAAAATTTCCAAAACACAGACATGCAGAAGAAAAAAAGATCCATCATGGATCTTGTTACAAGTAATTGAAATGTACAAATAGAAAGGGTGAGAGGGAGCTTAGATTACAATAATCCCTCTGTCCTGCTACCCCTCTGTGGGTGCAATTTGTATCTCGTCTCGGTGAGGCTTCAGCGTTGACTGACAAGCTGCAATAAGCTGCCAAGAGCATGGTGAAGGAGGGGCCCTAAGATTAGGAGCGAATGTTTTCAAATATATATACACATATAGATATTTAGTGAAGAAATATTTATTCCCTGCTTTTTTTAGGTTTACAGAAACGGCATCTGCAAACTATTACATGGATTTATTTTCATTAATGCTCTCAAAGAGGCTCCGACATTTATATCCCTGTGGTTTCATCTTGTATAACTGAAAAAAGAGCCCTGTGCTTTCCATGGGAATAGGACCCCCGGCCCCTCCTCCTGCCCGGAGCGGTGTTTCTCATGGCGGATGATTTGATCCACAGTGGATCCATCTTGACCCTGGCCTGGCATGTCTCAGCTTTTGTCAGGTCTCTGTGTGGTGTCTCTCTGCGGTCTGGGAAGCTGTGTGCTCCCCTTCTGGCATGGCAAATGGGGGGATACCAGCTCTGGAAACAGGGGTGGGGGGCACAGGGTGGGTGTTTAGGGTGACTTTGCTCCCTGGATGAGGTGGGCAGCGTCGGTCAGGCTGTGTCCCCTCCCTGCCCACCGTGCTGGAGGAGGGGAGCTGCACTGGGTAGAGCAGAGAAAGCCGGGGCTGGGGGTGGGATGGAGGGGCCGCTTCACCCCCAACCAGAGGAGGTGTGCTCCTCTCCTGGTTCTCCCATCAGGTCTCCAGCGCCGGGTGCTGGGTGAGTCCCCCCGGGCAGGTGCTGCCTGGGGTGAAGCTGAGGGTCCTGGTGTCGCAGCCGCTGGGTACCACGTGCGGCTGCAGTGAGAGCCCCAGTGAGAAAGGGAGAGGATGCTCCTGGGAGCGGTGGGGACTCGGGTGGTGTAGTTGGGACGCTTTCAGCTTTGGTGTCACACACTGGAGGATGTTTATCTGGAGGAAGCACCTTAGGAATTGCTGTATTTGTCCTCAGAGCTACTGCTACAGTCCCCAGCAGGCCTAAGCCCTCCTAGGGAAGGGGGGCTGGTGCCTTCTCCATCCAGACCACCCATCTGAGCTGGTGATGTCCCTGCGCTTGGCGGTGGCTCTTTGCAGTGGGTGAGGAAAGAGGGGTCTGGCTTCCAGAGGGCTTTAACCACAGGGTAAAACCTCCATCACTCTGGGTCATCCCCCATTGCTGCAGTATTGGCAGGGGAAGGTGGAGGGTTCATCTCTCTGTGGCTCAGTCCCACGGGTGAAGGACTGGGGTGCCGTAAGTCTGGGGCAAGGTTGCCCACCCTGCGTCCATCCCCCTGCACGTCCCACCTTGCAACCTCATTAGGCTGCACGGTAGGGTGGGATGAGGGGGAAACCATTTCCTTTCTGCAAAACCAAAGAAGCCCCCCCCCACGGAGTCACCAGCCTC